TCACCCTGTTTGTGTACTGTACGTGTCCGTCTCCCCGCCAGACTGGAACCCCTAGGGGAGTGGGGACCTTGAACATCCTGTTCTCTACCACAGTGCCCAGCAGGCCCCGATGTTTGTAGACACTCAGAAATATTTGCCGAAAGGATGACTTTGGGCTGAGCCTCAGTTTCCTCAACTGCAAAATGGGGATTATAACCCCCAGGGCACAGGGCTGTGGTGGGGGGCGACTGAGAGGATGTGTGCAGAGCACACAGTGAGCAGAAAGCTCCCCGTATTGTCGTATGAGTCCGTTGCGGGGCGCAGCCTCTCTGCCAGCGGCTGGCATTCGGTAATGGATAATGCACAGACTTGTAGCAACTCAGCCTAGGAAGACAACGTCATGTAAGAAAATAATTCAAACTGGAATGTGCGTTCTGGTCACCAGAATGTCGACGTTTAGGCACAAGTAGAAAAAGCTTGGCGAGAAATGTGCCATGGGGCGTACTGGTGCTGGGGATACGGTGTTCCATACAAAATCTTTCCTTCTGGGACGTAAGAGAAAAATTTCCAAAAACTCTTTGATTGATGTTGAATTTTGAGGGCAGACACAGAGGGCACGGGTGATGAGCCTTAGGCAGGGTGAGGGTGGGCAGGAAGGCCCTGTCCAGTCCCCGCATTCTTGCAGACTGGTTTCTTTGGTCCAGCCTGACGAGATCCCCAGGGCCACTGGGTAGACCAGGGGCCTCCACCAGGGCCCAGAGGGGTCCACCCATGGGCCCCAGCCCTGCCACCAACTGCGAGGCCAGTTCTGAGAAAGGGCTTTGTGAGCCCGCCTCCCCACAAGTGGAGGGGCCACTCGTCAGGCCCTTGGTAGGTGCAGGCCCTGTGCCCAGCCCTTACCCGTATCCAGCATCCTTGAGCTTTCACAGCCGGCAGTGAAGTGAGTGTAACTGGCACTTCCTGTCCCAGGTGAGAAGGCTGAACTTTACCAGGAAGCGAAACCATTTGTCCAAAGCAGGCAGCTAGTAAGGGCAGAACCAGGACCCCACCCAGGACCCCTCCCTCTGCATGCAGGGCAGTCTAGTCCTTCTGCACCAAAAGCACCTTTGACCCAGGAAGCACTAGATGCTTGGCACAGTAGGGGTTCACCGGAGGTCTGGAGAAGCAGAGCCCTGGCTCAGCTGTGCTCAGCAGCCCCTCCCAGGTTGCACCCAGGACCAGGCACCCCGTCTTCAGTTCCAAGCCTTAAAATCTTGATGTGAGCACAGAGAGGCCAACTGGCTGAAATCCTACATGCTAAAGATTGGGTTACAGCCCTGCCAGCAGAGTGACTTGGATCTGGGGCCCTTCATGGAGTGCCCGGGTTTGGCCCCACCCCAGAACACTGTCAGCTAGCTAGAGACGGAGCAGACCCGACCTCTGAGCCAAGTGTAGTGTTATTCAATGGCTTCCTGCCATATAACCAGCCTCAATGCCTCCAGACCTCAGGTGAGGCCTAGGACCTAGGGGGTTTAATGAAAGAAGGTGACTTGTGGGCCACATGTCATGTCTGGTGGGCGGATGGGACAGGCCCTCCCCCACCTGCAGGGATCCTGAGTCTAGCATTAAGGGTAAAAACCTGTCTTTGGAGCTTGTGCCTCCCTCCACTGTGGGACCTTTGAGGAAAGAGGGAAGAAATAACATGGAGTCACTCTAGGCAAGCGGCCAAATTACTAAAATCAAGTAGGCTGAGGCACGAGAAAAGATTCTATTCTTGCTTTTAACTAGTGTGGGAACTTAAACCTTTGAATGTTTCAGCTGAGTATTAGTGCCTGGAGATTTATGTAAAGCCTATAGATAACCCTGTGAAGAACTTAGGAAAGAATGTTCACTCTCAGACCACCTGACATCCAGTGTCCAGCCCACCGGTCATCTAGAGCAGGGGTCCCCAACTCCTGGGCCGCGGACAGGTACCAGTCCGTGGCCTGTTAGGAACCAGGCCACACAGCCAGAGGTGAGCAGCGGGCGAGCGAGCAAGGCTTCATCCGTATTTGCAGCCGCTCCCCAGAGGCAGCATCACCGCCTCAGCTCCGCCTCAGATCATCAGGCACTAGACTCTCATAGGAGCACCAGTCCCTGGTGCCAAAAAAGTTGGAGACCACTGCCCTAGAGGATTACCACCTTGAGCCAATCCAGAGACTAAGAATGCAGGACTGACTTCTCTCAAGAACGTGATTTTTACTGTAGGAACTGTCAGCTTTTCTTCTTTGGAACACTCTGGGTATTGCCTAGTTGTGTTCTCACTTTGCAAACCCTAAGACCTCTGAATAAATCTTTATCATTTTTCATTTTATCAAAGCCTCCTGACTCATTTACACTTGGCCAACAGCTCGGACAAGTCACCTGCCCTTAAGGCAGATGGAGATAATCGGTCCTGCTCTACAGAGTTATTGGGGGGAGTCACTGCAACCTGTAGGGAAGGGGCTGGGCACGGAGTTGGCCCCATTAAGGGTAGCTATGTCCTCCTACTGATTGTTAGCTGAATTCTCAGAGGTTGGCACAGAGCCACCATTGTCCATTGTTAATAAGTGCGGCCAGGAGCAACCTGCCCCGAGAGGCCCAGGGAGAGCAGAGCCTGCGAGAGCTCTGGCCGGGCCGCGGGGCCTCCCAGAGGTCTCCTAGCTCTTTCACAAATGAAGAAATAGCGCCACAGGATTACCACAGCTGGGGCACATGTGAGACACATTGAACGAGTGGATGCTTTTGACGCACGTGCTCACGGGCCCAAATGGGGTAACTTCCTTGTTCACACGCTCATAGTGGGGAGGGTATGGTGTGAGGAACACATTTATCTCCGCGTATCCCCGTGACAGTCTGATTGTTCTTATTTAAAGATGACACCAAAAAACCTGAATCTGAGGCCCTAGGGTCACATGAGGCCCTCCTGGGGCCCCGGGCTAGACCCTGGGCAATGGCTGACCAGCTACTGGAAGTGACCCCTAGGGCCACCGGAATGCATTTTTCTGTGTCCCCATAGCCCGTGTTTTAAAGCAGACCTTCCAAACTCACTTTCTAAATTTGGTGAAAAGCTATCCTGTGGCTTTGTGCCCTCTACACATCGATTTTGTAATATAATAAATGTAGTTTCTGAAAGGTCTCGGTTATGATGGCAGTCACACCTTGGGGATGAGACTTCTGGGCTAGGAGTCAGGAAACCTTGGTTCAGGCACTGCACCTGCCTGGGTTCCTCTCCTCAGTCAGCCCCGGGCCCTGCAGGCTGGGCTTGTGCCAGGTGGCCTTGGGGTGCCTCTGCTTTCTGTGGAGAATGACCAGCAGGACCCAAGGACCCTTGCAGGTGGGTAACTTGAGGCCTAGACCTGGGCAGGAGTCAGTGTCTCTGCTTACCCAGGACGCCGTGGCTGCTGCTGAGTCATCCCCGCTCCCCGCTCCCCGCTCTCCCAACCCAGGGTCCTCTCCTACCTCCTGGGAGGGTCTCTCCTCCTGGGGTCACTTTCTCTCCCTTGCCTGGATGCCCCTAGTCCTGTCCCTAATCCCCCCTACCCAGTGACCTACCTGGCAGCTCTCCACCCCCACCCTGGCCTGAAGAAGCCACTCAGGTCAGTGGGGCCCCAGTGGCAACCCTCTGTGACCTTGGCCAGGCCCAGAGCTTCTCAGGACAGAGGTCTGACAGGGCAGAGGGGGAGGAACCAGTGGCAGGAAGGGTGGGGGGAAGTGATGGAGAAGGTTGCAGGCCGCCTTCTAGACCCTCTAGGTCCTGGGAGGCTGTGGCCTGACATCCTGACA